AAAGCAGCATTTTATAGTTCTTATCAGAGAACCATATATACAAAAAGAATGGACTGCACTAGCCTTTTCCTCTGGGCTTAAGTATTCTGAGGGGAAAAGGTGACTGTTGTCTCAACTATTGAATGGGGCTCAGAGTTTAAAGCACTTGTTTGCTTTTAGTACACAAGCACCTGGATTTTAATCAAGTTGCTCTTTAATAACAAATGGAAACTATCTGCTCACATTTATCCTGCCCATGCCAATTCCACTCCTACCTGGGATTTTTTTGGGGGGGATATTCCCAAGTAGTGCTCAGGAGATTGGGGGGCTCCACTGTCAATTCTCAGCCAATGGGATTATCAGTTCAGCGGAAGAATCTCAGTGTGCTGTGGGACGCTGCACCTGGTAATGCTCAGGGAACCATGCAGTGTTGGGAATCGAATCCAGATGCTATACTATCTCCTGGACCCTCACCAGGAATTTTTAAGTGTTTATAGGTGCAGGATACTTCTTTATTTCTCTATTGCTTGAACTTTTCTAATTCACTGAAGGAAATACTTAATTTGTTATTCTTATTTAACTGTCTAAAGTGAAGAAATAGTTTAAAGTTCAGCTTACAGGTTCACTCAGACTTGTTTTTATGCTACCAGTATAATTTATGTTCTTCCTTCCCTCTTCATCTCCCTCCCTCCCTCCCTTCCCTTCTTCCTTCTTTCCCTCCCTCCCTCCCTTCCTTCTTTCTTTCTTTCTTTCTTTCTTTCTTTCTTTCTTTCTTCCTCTCTCTTTTTTTCTTTCTTTACTGCATACAGCAATGGTTATGGCTGACTTTTGGTTCTGTCCTTAGGGATCACTCCTGGTAGGGTTCAGGGGACCATATGTGGTGCCAGGGATGGAACTCTGGTAAGTCATGTGCAAAGCAAGCACCTTCCTGGCTGTACTGTTTCTGCAATCCTTATCTTCCTTCCTTCCTTCCTTCCTTCCTTCCTTCCTTCCTTCCTTTCTTTTCTTTTTTTTAATTTTTGGGTCACACCCGGTGATGCACAGGGGTTACTCCTGGCTCATGCACTCAGGAATTACTCCTGGTGGTGCTCTGGGGACCATATGGGATGCTGGGAATCGAACCCAGGTTGTTGCATGCAAGGCAAACTCCCTAGTACTATCTCTCCAGCCCTATTATCTTCCTTTCTTAATTTGCCTTCCACTTCTGCTCTCTGGTTTCTTCCTTTGCATGTGTGTATATGCGTGTGTGTGTGTGTGTGCGCACACGCACGCATGTGCATTTGCACATGTGTATTTTATTCTGTAGTGAATGCATCATTGGGACAGGAGTGATAACTCAGCAGGCTTTGCAGTATAAGCCCAGGGTTCAATCCCTGACATTGTATGCTTCCTAGAGTACCACCGTGAGCGACCCCTGAGTATCTCTGGGTGTGGCCCCCCGAAAACACTCCTCCCCACACACATTTGATGAATGCACTGTTATCAATACACCATTTTGGATCTGATATTTGTAAAGCCCATTTGGAGAATGCATATAATAAGCATAATGAAAATTGTGTAGAAATTTTCAAAGAATGTTCACTTTCATCAAACATCTCAGTCTTATGAGGTGCTAATATTGATATAATTGAACATAGAAATTTGTTCTTTTCAGGATTATAAAACTAATAAATAATATAGAGACGGTTCAGAGAGATGGCTCAACAGGCTCAACACCTGCTTTACAGAGGTTCCTTCCCCAGCACCTCCAGGCCAGGTTCTGAGCACAAATACACTGAGGGGTGACCACCCACCCCCGCCCCGCAAAAAAAGCAGTATGGGAGCTGGGAATTTCTTTTCTGCCATGTTATTTGGTCGTGTCACAAACTAGATCTTTTTTTAAAAATTTTTTTTATTAGTGAAACACCATGAGGTACAGTTGTAGATTTACAATTTTTTGTGCTTGGGTTTGATTATACAATGATCAGATACCCATCCCTTCACCAGTGCCCATTTTCCACCACCATGGATAATATCCCCCCCACCCCCATCCCCCCATCCCCCCCGCCTCTGTGGCAGGGCAATCCCCTGTGTTCTCTCTCTCCTTTTGGGTGTTGTGGTCTGCAAAAGAGGCATTGAGTGGCAAACATGTTCAGTCCATAGTCTACTTTCGACATGCATCTCCCCTCCTGGGAGGATCCTCCAAACACCCTTTATTTGGTGTTCCCTTCTCTATCTGAGCTGCCCTTTCCTCTAGAATGCCCGACTGGCCACTAAGCTATGGAGTAATCCTCCTGGTGCTGATCTCAGCTATTCTTGGGTATTAATCTCATATTTTGTTACTTTATATCCCCCAGATGAATGCAATCTTTCTATGTCTATCCCTCTCTTTCTGACTCATTTCGCTTAGCATGATACTTTCCATGTTGTACCACTTGTATGTAAATTTCATGACTTCATCTTTTCTAAGAGCTACATAGTACTCCATTGTGTAGATGTACCAAAGTTTCTTTAACCAGTCATCTGTTCTTGGGCATTCAGGTTTCTTCCAGTTTCTGGCTATTGTAAAGAGTGCTGCAATGAACAAACAAGTGCAGATGTCACTTCGACTATACATTTTTGCCTCTCTGGGATATATTCCCAGGAGTGGTATTGCTGGGTCAAATGGGAGCTCAATTTCTAATTTTTTGAGAATTGTCCATACTGTTTTCCAGAAGGGCTGAACCAGTCGACATTCCCACCAACAGTGAAGGAGTGTCCCTTTCTCGCCACATCCGTGCCAGCATCGGTTGCTTTTGTTCTTTTGAATGTGGGCCAGTCTCTGAGGTGTGAGATGGTATCTCATTGTGGTTTTGATCTGCATCTCCCTGATGATTAATGATGTAGAGCATTTTCTCATGTGCTTTTTTGCCATTCGGATTTCTTCTTTGAGAAAGTTTCTGTTCATTTCATTGCCCCATTTTTGGATGGGGTTGGATGTTTTCTTCTTGTGGAGTTTAACCAGTATTTTGTATATCCTGGATATCAACCCCTTGTCAGATGTGTATTTGGCGAATATCCTTTCCCATTCTGTAGACTGTCTTTGTGTTTTGGTCACTGTTTCTTTGGAGGTGCAGAAGCTTCTTAAACTAGATCTTTTTTGTTTAATTTGGGGGATGGCAGAGCCTCCTGCCCCCGCGCCTGGCTGTCCTCACCGGGGCCCCTTGAAGGGGGACGGGTTGAGTTTCCCTCCCAGCCCCAAGCAGAGCCCCAGCAGCCAAGACCTCTGAAACCACTCTGAGACCACTCTCCACACGTTCGGACGAGCCTTGCACATGAAGCAACCAGCAAAGGAACCCAGGCATGAGGGACCTGGGGCATAGATCTCCAAGTTTGCTTGAATTGGAACTGGGCCTCCTCCACCCAGATCCCCCATCTTCCAGTAGGTAGGCGTTACATCCACCAACTGCACCCTCCCCCCCCAACCCCCCCCCCCCCCCCCCCGCCAACGCCGTGTAATCCCATCAATGGCCAAGACCCAGAGACTATAAAACCCTGCTTCTGGAAGACATCTTATTATCTAGTTCTTACTCAGGAGAACCTGGAAGCTACCAAAAGTATCCTGCCCACATGGCAGAGTCTAGCAAACTCCCTGTGGTATATTCAATATGCCAAAAACCAGTAACAATGATGGGTCTCATTCCCCTGGCCCTGAAAGAGCCTCGAATGTGGCACTTTCTAAAATTTCAGGTCTAGGACGAAGGAGACGTTACTGGTGCCTGCTCGAGGAAATTGATGAACAGCAGGATGACAGTGATACAGTGATACAGTGAATTTGTGGGAAACCCCTTGTGGTACTCAGGACTTACTCCTGACTCTGGTGCTGAGGGGACCATATGGAGTGCTGGAGATTGAACCTAGGTCAGGCATGTGCAAGGCAAATGCCATTCCCACTGCTCCTCTCACTGGACCCTAAATTGGATCTATTTTATTTTTCATTCACTGGGATCCTCAGTGCTTGGGGCACCATGCAGTGTCAGGGATGGAATTCTGTGCCTCTGTGTGCAAAGTATGTGCTTCAGTCATTTGTGCTCTCTTACCTGCCCCAGATTGCATTTTGTATTTCATTTCATTTCATGTCATTTCAAAGATCTCCTCCTCTTCACTCTGCACATAGCCAGTTACTATCTGGGTAATTTACTGCCTTTTGGAGATTCAGTTTCCATCTTTATATACCAGCTATGGTCATAATGACAACAATCACAAAACCTAGCATTCTGTGGGGCTCTCTTTGATGCCAGGTGCTTGCTTACTTCTTTCCAAGCATTCTCTTTTCAATCCTGGTCAGTCTCTAGGAGGTTTACAGCAGCTGGACATTCATGCATGGTACACAGGGCAGGACCAGCCTAGCTTAGTCATTCCCAGTCTTCTCCCCGCCGAGCAGCATAGAACGCCCTTCTTCCTTTTATCCCTTCAGAACTGCGTGCTTGACCACATGTCCTCCCGTAGCTAACCCTACGAAACAAATAAGCAAATTCCCGGAGTGCAGTAAAGGCACGTAGAACTTGAACGCAATCCACCACAAGCGGAGTGCAAAGAAAAGGTGCATCAGCAAAATGCACTTGGACGACTCAGAAATCCGGGGTATCAAAATGGCATATAAAATGAAAAAAATATTTATAAATAATTTTATGAGCTTCTGAAACTACAAACGTAAACATTTGTTTTAACGGAATAAAATAAATTACACGTCGAAAAAAAAAAGAAATCCGGGGCATCCAAAGGAAAACAAACCCCAAGAAGCGGAGAGACACTCCGACACAATCAGCGTCAGGGACAGGGTACGTTCCGGGTAACTGCTCAAGACCCCTCCCCACCCCGGAACAGCGGCTCCCGGCGCCCGCCAGCCCTCCGGCCCCGCCCCTTCCCGCGGCCCTCCGGCCCCGCCCCTTTCCCCGGCCGCGGGCCCCGCCCCATTCCGCGGCTCTCCGGCCCCGCCCCTTTCCCCAGGCCGCCGCCGCGGCTGCGCAGTGGGCGCGCGTCGGCGGCGCAGTACGCGCCGGGGTCAGCTGACTCGCTGGGGGCACGTGACTCGCTCCGTGGGCGCTGGGGTCGAGGAAGCCGTGAGAGGCCGGAGCTTGGGCCGGGCAGGGATGTCGCGCTGAGCGTTAACGTCTGCCGGGCCGCCCGCCTCCGGAGCTGCCAGCGCTGTCGCTTCCTCGAGTGGCACCTGCCGGGGTCAGTGAGCCGTGGCTGCCCCACACGGGGGCATCCGGCCCGGCGCGAGCGGGCGCTGCGGACGCCGCCGGCGGGGGGGGGCAGGGGACCGGGGAGGGGGCGGGGGCGGGGGGCTGCGGTCCGGGGTCCGGGGTCCAGGGGCTGGGGCTGGTTTCTCCGCGCCGCCTTGTCGCGACTTTGGGCCTAGCATCGGTCTCCAAGGACGAGGAAGAGGGGGCCTGGCTCGGGGGCTCGCAGTTGGCAGAAGCAGAAGTCAGAGAGACGTAGCGGGTCCCGGATGGGGCACCTTGGGTGGGGGCGAGGGGGTGACAGGACCCCCGGCCGCTGATCGCGGGAAAGGAAGCCGGGGGACGGGGGAACCTGGGTGCTGTGTGTGCGCGAGGTCACAGCCCGGGGAAAAGCCCTCTCTGGGGGGGACGGGGGCGGCAGTCCACAGTGTCCAGCGGCCCGCAGACGCGATGCCCGGTGCTGGTGGGCCGCGGGTCGAAGAATCCAGAGAACTTAAGCCGCGTTTTGGGGTTCAAGTTAGAGTGGGGCAAGGGTCGGCCAGGACCCCTCTCCCTTTCCCCCACGCCTCCCACCTCCCTACGGGGCTTGAGAGGGAGAGCCCTGCGCGGCACGTTGAGTCATCTGGGACAGCGGGCCAAGAGAGGAGCTAGTCTTAGTCTTTTCAGAGGAAAACTCTGGTGTGTTAGGGGGGAAAAGCAGATACAAAACCTGGGTATTGCAGTGAGAGCTGAGCCCTGAGCCCTGGTGTCGGGTGGGGTGTCGGGCCTCAGGGTCCGTGGAAGGATGACCAGGGCGGTGGGGAGTCGAGGAGGGCGCGCTTGGGCACAAGCGCTTTTTCCTTCGGTGGAGCTGCTGCAGACAGGGAGGGACTGGGGCCGTAGGGCTACTTCCTGGAGGACCGGTAACCAGGAAGGGGCTTTGCAAGCCAGTGGACTTGGACGGGTGCAGAGAAGTGGGGAGAACGTTTCTGGGCACAGAAAACGGCAGCAGAGGGGAAATGGGGCTGCGGGGGGATGTGTGAGAGTTGGAATTGGAAGAGAGAACCATCGGCCTGGGGGGGGTGTCAGGAAGTGGGGGCTGTGGAATGGGACTTGGACACTGCTCTGTTGGCCGCCCTGCAGGATGCATCTTGTGCAGGAAACTGGAAGCTGAAAGCTTTTACTAGGTAACCACTCCCGGAGGAAGGAGTCAAAGGAGTCACACTGGTTAGCTGGAGGCTTGGCCTTTTTAAGAGGTTCAAAGAGAAGTAAGTGTGTGTGTGTGTGTGTGTGTGTGTGTGTGTGTGTGTATGTATTTGGGGGAGGATGAGACTTGTGGATAAACAGGTTGGAAAGACACCTACACTTAGGGATGGGGAAAGTGGAAACTTGGGGTTGTGAGCTCCAACATCAGCATTGCAGCTGCCTGGGGGTCTGAGGAGGAATCAAGGCTTTGGAGGTTGTAGGAGGACTCGCTTGCTGCTTCCCGAGCCTCCCCTTACGCCCCCCCCCCCCCCACCGCCTTTGAGCCTGACAGAAGCCAGGGAAGCCACTGAAGGTCAGAGGCAGCAGAGACAGAGGATGGTGCAGTTTGAGAAGCTGATTTGGGGGCCTGGGGATGGAGCTCAGGGGACAGGTGCACGCCGTGTGTGTGTGTGTGTGTGTGTGTGTGTGTGTGTGTTCGGCCCTGGGTTCAATTCCTAGCACTGCTGTAATTAAGTAGAGAATGTGTGGCCTGGAGGGCCCTGGAGGGGCCATGTTGCAATCTCCCGAGATACCCAAAGCACTGGCGACTGTTTGCAGGTAGAGAGAACAGAAGGGCTGAAGGCAGGCCGCTGGCTCTCCCTCAAGGAATCAAGGTGAATGCTTCGTTTGTTAAGTTTTGTTTTTGGTTTGTGGAGGGGCTGCACCCGGTGTTGCTCAGGGGACCATGCCGTGCTGGAGGTCCGCCTGTCCATCTGCACGCGTGGGCCATGCACTAGCCCGTGTTTAGGCTTGTGGAAGGGCTGAGTGGAGGAAGGGAAAGAGCGATTGGATTCTGTTTGTGCCCTTCACTGAAGCATCTTGGTGGAGGGGCAGGGTGGGGCTTTGTGTTGGAGTGCTGCACACAGCACACATGGGGCTTGCTTTCCAGACTCTTTGTTGCTGTCAGCCTTCCCTGCTGTGCGACCTGTGGACCGCCCCCGGTAGTCCTGGCACCCCTCTCCTGCTGGGCTGCTCGCCCCTGTCGCAGAGTGATTAGTCCAGGCCTGACACATGGTCCCTGTCTTTCTCTACAGCTGTCTGGTCCCCCTGTACCTGCTTTGCCTAGCCCGCCCTGGGTAGAAGACCCTTTGCGGTTCCTGAAATGTCTAGGGATTCCCGACTTAGCACCTGGGAACCTCTTCTGTTCCCGACAAGGCAGCGGTGTTGGGAAGCCCAGAGCGTGGCTGGGGGTCGGGGTGGGGAGGTGGCGGTCAGTGACCCTTGGGTGAGCGTCTCTTTCTTCTCTGTGAACCTTGCAGGCAGGGCCTGAATTAAAAGAAAGAAACCCCGCCGGTAATTGGACCAGACTTGAGATGCTGAGAGCTTTGTGGTTCTCTTTGTTGGGCCACATGTGGTCATGCTCAGGGGGACGATATAGGTCCTGTCTCTGCGCTCAGAAATGACTCCTGGTGGTGCTCAGGGGACCACATGGGATGCTGGGGTTTGAACCCAAATCGGTCACGTGCAAGGCGAAGCACCCTACCTGTTGTGCTATCACTCCAGCCTCAGAGCTCTGTGGTTCTGGGCTTTGAACTTGCAAAGCTGGTGAGAAACAGTGAGTTTTCAGTTTCGGAGCCCTAGTCTTTGAATCTACACTTTGGATCGTTTTTGTTGCCTAGTATACTGCCGGACTCCAAAAATTTCATCCTGCGATGATTTTCCACAGCTTGCGAAAGAATTCTTCTGGCCGAAGAGCAGGCCTGAAATTCCAAAGTAAACCTTCCTCAGAGGCTCACAGAGTCCTCAGACCCTGTGTGTAAAGTTACTCTGGCTTTGAACCTGATTCTGCCCAGTGGAAGCTCTCATTGCCCTAAGAGTGTTCTGCCTAATTTCTTTCTTCTGCCTGTTCTTGTGTGTATGGAACTGTGTGGTGCTGAGATGGAGCCTGGCACTCCTGCCTGTAAACCGCTGAGTTCGCTCTCAGCCCCCTTCAGCCTGTTTGATGGGGCCCGCAGAATAGATCTGTTTCTGCCTGGGGCTGTGGAATTTTATCTCCATTTAGTTATAATCATCTAATTCGTGTTAGAGACCTGTTTCTTCAGTCTTTTAAAACATAGTAGAAATGGTTATTAGCATCACTTCAAGGCTGTTGAAAATTTTGAGTTAACAGATCTTTGGGTCTGAAATTTCAAACTCCAGACTTGATAATGAAACAAGCTCTCTTGGGAGGGAGGTAATTGGGGACAATATCTAGTGTTGCTGGGACAACTGGCTCTTCTCAGGATCACTCCTGGCAGTGCTAAGGGGGAACAAAGCAGCAGCTTAACCTCTCTGGTCCCTAAAACAAGGTTCTTTGCCAGTGAAAAGTTCCTTGCACTGTGACATTATTGTGTAAATCTGCCATGCACTTACTATACCTTCAGAATGATTGTATTATCAGTAAACAAAATCATAAGCTTTCTAGGCTGATGAATTGTGGAAAAACTAACTTCAGTATTTTGTATTTGACTTTTGGGCTGTGCCTGGTGGTGCCATGGTCTGCTCCCAACTCTGTACTCGGGGCTGCTTCACCGTGGCATTGGAGGCTGCCACACAGTGTCGGGGGTGGAACCGGGGATTGTCATGTGTGTGGCATGCTCTTTGAGCTGCCTTGGGCCCTGATGTTGAGCTTGGTGAGTTTCAGCTAGACCCCCACGTGTCTCTCCCAGGGGCACTGGCCCGCTACCTCTGGTTGAGTCACTAGAGCCCAGATATCACTATTACAAAAGACCCAAGAAAAGGGAAGTCCCGTGAGGAGCCCAGCTGCTGAGTTGTCTGGTCAGTGGCCAGGCAGTCTCTGGGGTCCAGGAAGGTGGGTTTGGACCAGGCAAGGGATCCAACCCAGTGCCTCCCACATGGGTGCGGGCGCTGCACCTTGGCTCCACCCCCACCCTCTCCAGAGGTTCTGTACCTGATGCCCTCCCAGTCACATCCACCGACTCAGTGTTTCGACAAGGTAGAAGAGATTTTTCAACACTGTATGTGGGGTGGCTCCCTTCATACCCCCAGACGCGCTTCCAGTCTTCACGATAGACAGCTGTGTGAGAGTCAGGCTTTCCAGGCATAGTTGTAGTCAGCCGAGGAAGAAAAAGGGTGGAAGTGGTTCCTATTCCATTCCTATCAAATTCTTTCATATTTAAGTATCTTTAGTTCACGCAGGAAACTCACTTATCTTTATTTTTTTAATTACTATTATTATTATTATTATTTTGCTTTTTGGGTCACACCCAGCGATGCACAGGGGTTACTCCTGGCTGTGCACTCAGGAATTGCCACTGGCGGTGCTCAGGGGACCATGTGGGATGCTGGGAATCAAACCCAGGTCGGCCACGTGCAAGGCAAATGCTCTGCCCGCTGTACTGTTGCTCCAGCCCCAGCTCACTTATCTTTAAATAGGATTCTAGAGGAGTCATAAATCATATTTTGGAAACAAAACTCAAAAAAGCTAAGATGCATTTAAATTAAGTATACTGTACCAGTTTAAAATCTCATTCTGGGGCCAGAGAGATGGTCCAGGTGTTCAGGCTCTTGCCTTGCTTGCAGTCACCTCTGCTTTGATCCTGGGCACTGCATGATTCCCTTGGGCATTGCTGGGTGCAGCCCTAGAAGTTTCTGAGCCCCTCTGGGTGTGGCCCAGGAGCCGCCCCCAGCTCTGGAGGCACAGAGCAGCTCCGCATTCTTGGGCCCTCACAACGAACTGCTAACTCCGTTGGCCGCAAATTATGGGAGGAGCCCCTAGGAAGAACCCCTCCACCCTCCTCCTCCCGAAAGCATTTCATTCTGTATGAA